TGTATTGTTTGGAAGACAATGTTGGAAAACTGGCCCACTGTATAGAGAAAAACAAAATGGGATTCCTATATTAACACCATATCCAAAGATGGACTATGGATAGATTAAAGATGTAAATTTAACAAATAAAATGATAAAGTTAAGAGAAGATAATGTACAGAGAAGTACTATTTTGCTTGCAATAAACAGTGATTTCTGTTTAATCAAAGACAATATTAAGTTCATTAGCAATAAGTGAAGAGAAAATATCTAAAATAATGATATAAGAGTATATTTCAAGAATACACAATTAACTCCTGCACATTAACAGAAAAAAACCAGCAAGTCTCAAAGAAAAAAAAATGAACAAAGGATATCTATAAGCAAGTCACAGAAGAGGAAACCCAAAGGCTTAACAATCATGCTACAAAGAGAAAATCAAATGAAAATAAAATACTATTGTGGCAAAAACTGATTAGGAAAGAAAGGAGATACAGGAACCCTCACTCACTGCTAGTGAGAGGGTAGACAGGAGAAAGTATTATGAAGAGTCAGTCATTTGGCAATATTTAGTCAAAATCAGCATAGATATGCCCCATACACATTTTGAGACTATCTACTACAGCACTGTTCTAATGGCAGAGTTGCAGGCAACCTGGGATACATCACTCCTGAAGAGGACTGGTAAATATCAAAGGTGTAAACCATGGGTTACTACAGAGCAAGTAGAAATAATGATTTAGACCCGCACTGTCCAATACAGTAGCCATTAGCCATATGTGATTAAACATAAAGTTAAACAATATTGAATTCCTCAGTTGCAATAACATTTCAAAAGCTGCATGTGGTTAGTGGCTATAATATTAGCACAGATTTAGAACATTTCCCATGTCCATCACTGCAGAAAATTCTATTGAACAGTGCTGCTCTAGATGAATACAAAATAATGCTGAGAAATCTGACAAGTGAAAGGAGAGGGAATGAAGTCGAAGGAACAATGATGTAATTTGAAAATTGAATACACAAACACACAAATACAAAGATAGCAACAAAGATATGTTACCTATGAGGCAAGAAGAATGGCAGAAATAAAGATACCCAAGAGAATATATAAATAAAACGAGGAGTACTTTGGATAGAACAATGAGGCTGATAAACCACACTAGCGAATATTATTATCACCTTTACTTGAGGTACAACAACAAAAAGTCTGTATTGAGGGCAAATGGTAAACTCCAACTGGATGCCCTTAGTAACAAAAGTTATTTAGGTTGCAAAGCGGGAATTTTTCATGTCCACATTGCCAGCCACTTTTCATTTAAAACTGCACTCATCTTTATTTGCTTCAATCTCACTCAGCTCTGCTACTTCACTACAGAGCTTTCCTCAGAGAAGAATGAATTTGTTGGCAATACATAAACTGTCAATAGCCACTGAGAATAAAAGGTGAAACAGATTATTCAATTGCCACCCACATTTTATGAAGTTATTATATAGTACCCTTCACAGTTATTTTGATACACGTGGCAAGTTCTAGAAATAATACCAGACCAGCTTACACCATCTAAGAGAAAGTGAATACAATGTAATTTGGTCCTTCTTCAATTCTCTTCAACCATTAGGAGTTAAACTATCTGAAATTTTCTAGGAATGAAACATGCTAAGATGAAAATAACAGTCTAATACTGTTCAGCAAGGATTTTCCAGAAGAATGAGTTAAAATGTCATTGACTGATTTTTAGAAGTGAAAGAAAAAAATTTAAACACGTGCAGTGCTCAGTAAGTTTCTTTCCTTTCATCTCTGTATCAATACTAAAGCAGGTGCAGTAATTTTAGACGTAGTACTACTAAATAACACTACTAGAAAACACACAATACTTAATATGTGCCAGGCAGCAACTCATTTAATTCTCACAACACGATGAGTTAGTTATTAAAAGACTCATTGAACAGGTGAAATAGAGGTTACGTAACTCGCACTAGGTTTCGGATCAGCGATACACTGCATCACAACACTGTGCTCCATGACCCATTCCTCCGACGGATCATCCCGGAGGATTCAGCCTTGCATTTACCTGGAGAATCTGACCGTGCCACCAAGTGGAGTTCCGGGTTCGTGGCTGATGAGCCACACTGCTCGCTGAGCCATGCTAAGCCACTAGTGCATCAGTGCACCCCGCAGGCCGCCACGGAGGAAGAGCGCAGACCGCCTTTCTCGGATGGGTTCTTAACGGAAGCCCGAGGTTCATTCATCCGAGCTGCCTTCGGCCCCACCACGAACAGGTGCAGCTCAGCAGGGAAGCTAGCGCCTTCAGAAGTGACGAAAGCCTCTGAGTCCGTCCTGGCCAACACAGGCCACAAAAGACTTCTGCGAATCCGCACCTGGAATCTCAAGAACTTATGCTTCCCCAGAAACCCTAGCACTTGCTTCCTCTACATTCCACTTCCGGGATGGTGGCCCACCAGGATCAAGATTCCTCAATCGCCCAGCGACGCGCCTCTCCGCGGTTCG